TTGGATTTATATATGGTTGCGTATATCGGAATTTTTATGATAGTAGGAGGAAAAAATTGTCATCGGAACGCCACTCATTACGCAAACATACATAGACTCACGTACGTCAAAAAATGTAAAAAATCAATCAGTTTGTCTGACGATCGCAAATAGCGTGAAACCCAGGATCACAAACTCACATCAATCCAACTAAATATATATATATATATATATATATATATATATATATATATATATATATATATATATATATAAACTATATATATATATATATATATATATATATATATATATATATATATATATATATACTAAATATATGTATATATTATATAATTAGAAATATATAATTATATGACGGATTTTTTAATGTTGGTACACGTTTCTTTTTCTCTTCCTTTATAGGAAATAAAACCGAATTCCAACAGAACTACACACCCACATACTATATTAAAACACGTTCAAACTTTATTTACTACCCCGTAACAGATAATATTTACAAACAAGCTAGAATGATTCCACAGTACAATACATACCGTTTAAATCAAAATATCTATTAAGTAGAAATTATATTATATTAGAAATTGGGTATAAATTTTCATGACTATGCGAAATAATTGTCACAGAAAACTAAAAGCTTATTTTTCTCGAGCTTACTTTCGGGAAAAATTACTTTTAAAAACCCACAGATTTCGAGTATCAGGCGTCATAGAGATGAGGCCGTCTCGAAGCCTTTCAAACAAAAGTGAAGACGTTGTCACATAGCTTTTTCCTTACCCGCCATGCTTAAAGAAACGTGTGTTGTCGACTTCAAACGAATAATCTCCAACAACAACGGCTCGGACGGTCAGTGAATCTTCGCTGACGATCAAAGTCTTTTCTAAATCATTTTACTTTGAAACAACTATCTTAAAGTCAACCAAAGATTATTTTTAATCCTTTTGACTCTTTTAAATTCATGTACATATGTTTGCAAATACAAATGATTTATTTAGCCGGCATAGCCGTATTTTATTTATTTTTATTTTATTATTATTTGGAATCCAGACTTTCGGATTTTTAATATATAAAAAAAAAAACCCTGGAGGACAGAATTATCTACACTTCCATCAGCGGAAGATTTATATTAACTTAAGCTTTAAGTTAAAATGCAATATAGATTTCTAACGGACAATGATTCAACATTCTTGACAAGAGAATATGATTCAGTAATTCAAAATTCTTCCATTTTTCTCTTCTCTCTCGCTAAGAATTTTGTCTTTGAGTCTGCGAGAATCCACTCAGAATGTGCTCCCTTTTTTCAAAGTACAAGAAGACAGGACAACGTTGCATTTGAGTCACTACCATGTGCATTGAACTATTTATTAGAACTGACTCAGTAAGTGATTTTTAAACGTTATATAGTGCCTGGCTATAGTAGAAGATTTCTGTTGTAGACGCCTGCTCAGGTGCATATTTTGTGTTTGTTAACAACCTACAGACCCCACCCCCCTGTTCTATACTACAGCTATGCAGAGTGGATCTTAGTTACAGTTTCTGGGAGAGAGCGAGTTATCTAGCCTGATCAACAGTCTGAACAAAGCCAGTACGTTCAAACACTCGGTCACGATGACTTATGACTTCGTGCTAGTTCAACCACGGCCGGCTCTTAGATAGTTCCGTCAACCCGTGGTTTGACTTTCAGGCATTTTCTAAAGCTGCCACATGCTGGGATTGTCTCCCCTGGTCGATAACATCGTCACCTTCCCGATAAATCGACCATGATGAGATTCAAACCCGGGACTCATGCTCGGAAAGTGAATGTTGTAACCACTCGGCCAATTGTTTTATAAATTTTTTACTAATGTTCACCCAGTACAAGACCCAAGAGCCACTCAATTTAGAGGGTCAATGTGTGAAGATGTATTAGCGGAAGAAAGGGTAACATGACAGGAAAGATAGACAGATAATTCTAGACTTGAAAAGGTCGAGATTTAATTAGCGAATTTATTTTCAGAGTTAAGGAGGAGACGTTAGATGTATACAGTTGAAGTAGACTTGAGAAGGGACGGGAAATACAATCCTAGACAGGAAAGAAGGGATGAACCTCTACTCCTGTTCAAAAGAAAGGGGGGGACGAACCAAGCGTGAATAAATTGTTAAACCCAGTCGAGGTGAAAATATATATTTTTTATAATTGGATAGAAGAGGTCCATTCTGTGCCTAGTTTCTGTATATTCACTGTTGGTAGTTACATAATGTGTTTCATTACTTCTGGTTAACAACGTGTTTATACTCTTGGGAAAGGTATGAATGCTCTTCTTCTCCTCCCAGCTAAGGGTAAAAGGAGTATAGATTGGGTTCTATCGCCGTGTATGTACCTCTCTCGTAGGACATACTATACAGCTAAAGAAAGCATCGGTCGACAAAATTATGTTGATTTAGTAGGGAACTTACTAACGGTTATTAAATTTGTCATCCTTTTTATAATATTCTGTAGGATCCCAGAGCCAACTCTGCACATTGAAACTGATTGCTTATAAAAAAAAAATTCTGTGCCGAGTTCTGATTTCTTCTTCTTCTTGTACCATTTCCTTTTACGACGTGAGTGATCATGGCACTCCACAACTTCCTTTCTATTGTTCAGTAACCCTCCTTGTTAATATTTTACCATCCATTTATTTAGATATGTTACTCACTTTCCCTCCGTTTCTCTTTCCTTCAATATGTCTTGTGAGTGTCAGATTCTCCAAGCCTTCAATATCTGTCTATATTTCTGAGCTATGACGTACACCATTTAAATTATTCGGACTATTGTCCTCATATTTGCTACGTCTATATTTCTGAGATGGGGTATTATGTACACTATTCACATTATTCGGACTATTGTCTTTGTCGTCATGCTTCTAAAATAAGAAATATATTATCTCAATTTTCATTTTAAATCCAACAATAATAATTGTAACTTTTTTTGACAATAATTTTATATTTATCAGTAACCGAATTTTTTATTTGGCGAAAAAATAAAAAAAAAATATATAAAAAGGCCAATTTCGAAGAAAAGAGGATATCAAGTTTATTGAAATTTTAATTTTCATCATCATCACCATCATCATCATCATCATCATTATCATCATCATCATCACCATCATCATCATTACCACTTTCTATTATAGAATCAATATCTAAATTGTCATTAAACAAATTATCAATCACAATATTATCTTCGACTTGTTCTCAATTACCTCCGATCTCTTCATTCTCTTACGAAAGGATGTCATCTTCAGAGCCATCAATGGCTGTCGTGAGAGAACTCTTCAAAATCGCATGGCAACTTTCAACATTATTTTCGCCGCCTAATTTAGAGTTTATTCTTGATGTCAAGGTCGACAAAATATCTTCGTTATAATTTCTTGCTTCTTTTTGACAAAATTTATAGATGCGTATTATACATAGGGATAGATATATTTCTTAATTTTAGGATCATTTCTTGGTTGCGTATTAGTCATGGGCGCGTATTATTTTCGAGAAATTACGGCAATAAAAACATTTTGGAGTTAGACTCTTATTTTTTTATTTGATTTGACGAAGAGTTCCATCTCAAATATATGCCCTCGTGACTTTAACAGTTCTTTCTGGTTCCTTTAAAATTGGTTTTGCAGTTTTTGTTCGCCGTCAGTTTTCTGGCTTCTATCCATGTCTTTCGCTCTTATCAACTCTTTATTCGTCTCTCCTTTGTTCGCTTCTGATTCATCAATCTTCTCTCTGACTAGCTCTTTACTTCTGCTTCTATCTTTCCCTCTCCTTTTTCCCTCTCCTCTTTCCCTCTCAGGCTTCTTTCTTTTTTTTTTTCCTTTACCATTTCTTCATTTATACGCCCTTCCCTCTTTCGACCCCTGTCCGCACTCTTCCCTTGTTCTCACTTCCAGTCCTAACACATTCGACCCCAACCCCGACCCTCATACGGTCGCCGTAACATGACACTGTTTTCAATTTTCGTTGCTAGCGTTTCGTCGATCGACTGCACCGACTGAATTATGAGTTCTTCTCAGAAAAACGTGCCCGGGCCGTCTCCGGTTCCAAATGATAAATCGCAAAGTACTAAATCGTCCTCACAGGAGATGAGAGGTTCGCCGTCTACCCTACTTTACTTAGGCCCTGAATGGATCACGGCGGACGGGGGTAACTCGACTGGCGACGAATACGTCTGTATGTTGGTTCTTGACACAAAAACACCGTTTTACGCCCCACTGCAACCCCTCCGCCTCTGTCTCCCGACGCTGACACATTGAAAGCATTTTTATGGGGAGATCTTTAGTGTACATCGGTTAGTATGCATAGCATTAACTTTCTGAATCTAATGGCAAAGGTTCTTCTCATTTGAGGATTGTTCTTTCTTAACTCGGCTAAAAAGCCCAACCCTGAAACACAGAAGATATTCACTTCTCATTATTCTTCGGATATGAAATCGTTTATTTTTTATTTTATTTTTTTACTGTTGTTCACTCAATCCAAAGCTCAAAAGCCAGTCAAAGTAGAGTATTATGAGAATCCTGATATGACCACCAGTCAGTTATGTGCCATGCGTGATACACGCTTAGGCGATCATGTATATTTCGATACATGACTGACGAGGCAGATATTTTTTCCCGCAGAAGGTTGTCACATCTTTCTGCTGCAGACAAGTTGCCATCCAAGGCTATAGAACCCAGTCTGTCCTGTTATTTACCCATAGCTGATGGTGGAGGGAGAAGATGAGGATTTATACCTTTCCAAAGGATATTAGCACAGAAGTGAATGTAATGGATTCGACTGCAATTCGAACTCGGCTCTCCGATTTCTCAATCCGAGACGCTATCTATTACTCCACCGCATAACATGACAAGAGAAAAGAGGAAATGGAATTTATCAGGATATGTAGAATAGATAACGATTGATCCTAGATTTCAAGGTTTTAATGTTAGGAGTATCCACTCAGGAGCTCGTCCTACAGGCCAGTGGTTATTGACAAGAATCTTACCGTCATATCACGTTGATTCACCGGTTCCCGTACGATCCCCGAAGTTAAGCAACGCCGAGCCGGGTCATTACCAAGATGGGTGACCAGTTGACAATAGCAGGTACTGTTAGCTATGCATGTGATGTAATGGATAACGGGTCAGAATTACAAATCGGAGAGCCGAGTTCCAATTCCAGTCGAGTTCTTTATTTTCACTTACGCGTACATACATGAATCTCCCCACCTTTGATCCAACCTCCAGCTATGAGTTAACTATTAGTAGTAATTGTCAGTAAAGCCTTACCAAAAAAAAAAAAAAAAAAAATTATTAAAGTCTAAAAATATTTTCTGGCTTTAAATAACAAATTTCCAGTCTTCAGGGGATTCTGGTTTTAAACGATATTTCCATTTTTTTTTTTCAATTTGTTTCAATTAATGCCCCGTCTTTTTCAATCGTTTTTTTTACTCCGTTTTATACAGGTGCGTATTAATAATTGTATAAAAAAAATTAAATAAAAGCACCTTGTCTATCGTATTCAATGAAATATGCATGAAATATAGATTAATACATATATATTGTGTGTTTATCTAAAAAAAATAGCCTAAAATTCACTTCCGTCCTTAACGTGCGCCGATGGCTTCGTGGTAGAATCTCCGACTGACGCCAATTCAGACGGGTTTCGATCGTAGCTAAATACAACCGATCGACTACCCATACTGAAGAGCTGCGAAACAGTCTCTCTGTGGATGACAATATATAATTTCGGGATAAATTTGATATTTAAATGTTAAGTAATTTTTTTTTTATTATATATACACACATACATATATACACACACACACACACACACACACACATATATATATATATATATATATATATATATATATATATATATATATATGAAAAGATTATTTAAATATCAATTTTATCCCGTAATAAATATTTACTTTTGCTTATGCCAACATATCAACAAAGATTTTGTTACTTTAATAATAATATGACATGATAGAGCAATTAAAATATTTAACTAAAATATTATAATTTAATTAACAATAACAAACATTACAATTTAATTAACAATATAACATAACAACTTTTATATAAACCATAAAAAAATTAACTTAATTTCGAAGAAAAATTTAGTTTCGAAGAAAAAATTTACAACTTCAACTTAAAAAAAGAAATATGTAAACAAAAGCAGAATTTCATTGGCATGCGCGCGTAAAAGTATGTGAAATTCATGAATTCGCAGGTGGATAAAACGAAATAAAGAAGCAGATTGAAAAAGACGCAAAACACATTGAAAAAAGTGAAAAAACAAAAAAAAATCATTGGAAATTTCATTTAAAAACAACCCCCTGTAGGTTGAATATTTTACCAAGAAACAAAGTCGGGATAAAATTGATATTTAAAAGTTAAGTAATCTTTTCATATATATATATATATATATATATATATATATATATATATATATATATATATATATATATATATATGTATATGTATGTATGTATGTATGTATTAATTTATATTTCATGCACATTTCATTGACTACAATAGACAAGGTGCTTTTATTTAGTTTTTTATACAATTTCTCATGCGATATAATATATTTCTTTTCAGATGATGAATTATATAAAAACTGTCCGAATGTTCTTTTTATCTGAGCGCTTTCGGCTATACATTTAGCCATTTTCAAGGATTAAATATTTTAACTGTTAAAATAAGAAATAGTTTGTTGCACGTATGTTTATAAAATGTTTTCATTTTTCAAAACACGGTCAAGATATTATGTCCATGTTCATTATTAAGTGTTGTTTATTTAGTTTTTATTAATGTCTTCCATTATTCTTAGCCATTTTTGCATATAGATGATGCCTTTATATTAGTGTTGTCAACAAGTATGTTACGAATAGTGTCCGGTATGTCTCCATGAATATTTCAATGAGATCTAACTGAGCTTTTGTCAGAAAGGTGTAGAGTGAGTCTGCGTGTCAAACATGTTGCAGTGTGGCCTATATAATTATTTACGAATTTTGATTGATCAGGAATACAATTCCTTAATGGGCATTTAAATTCGTAAATAATATTTGCCCAATTTAATTTTGTTCTAAGAGGCGAATTATTATTTTTAACTACAATAAATATAATTTATATTTGGGCAGCAACCTTTATTTAAGCAGCAACATGTTGCGTTGAATATGAAAGACTAGGAAAACTTAATTAATTTTTTTATTTAGTTTTTCCAGCATTCTTATATTTTCCCTTTTTGAGGGAGTAAGGAAGTTCAAACAATTGTCCGTATTGTCCATTGTACCAAGCGCTTTCAGCAACTTCTTTAACTGTTTCCAAGTTGGTTCGTTTAGGGGTGTCGTTAATTTCTCTTCATGTTTGACTGTATAAGATGTATTTTTGTGTTGGGAACGTTTATTCCGAGCTTCGCGCGTTGTACGAGGCTGGAATTCAAGTGAACGTCTTTATATTGTTGTTAACACCCTATTACCACTGCTGAATAAGGTGGGGTTGATAGTAGGACCGAGGTATTTTATATACAGGGCCTTACTCACAGCGAGATGTTTCTGGTAATTTGATTTATATAGGATTTTTGTTTTTAACCAGAACGAGAAGATAACTGGATATGCATGTTTCTGTTGTCTTTGAAAAACTTTCAACTCCCCATTACCACTGCTGAATAAGGTGAGATTGATAGTGAGATCGAGATGTTTTATATACAGGACTTCTCTCACAGCGAGATGCTTTCGGTAATTTGATTTATATAGAATTTTTGCGTTTTCAACCAGAAATTGTCTTAAGGAAACTTGTAAATCGTGTATGGATAGATGTTTTTCTCTTCTTTTTTTTTCGATTTCATCTGACAAGTGACACGTGAGACGTTTACTCAAGGAGGTGGTTGTATATCCGATATAGGCAATTGATTCATGACAAGAAACAGTCTTGCACGCCGCTGAGAAATTGATATTCTATATTGGTCATTGCTAGTTTAGGCCTGACGGGGTTATTTTGATTGATGACAACATTTCCATTTCAGTCATTTATGTGCCATGCGCGATACATGACTGGCGAGGCAGATTTTTTTTTCCGCAGTAGGTCGACATTTCTTTTTTACGCTAGACCAGTTGCCATCCAAGGTTATAGAACCCGGTATATTTACCCATGGCTGGGTTGGGAAAAGAAGAGTGTTCAGACATTCCCAAGGATATTAGCACGTAAGTGAATGTAATGGATTCGACTGGAATTCGAACTCGGCTCTCCGATTCCTCCCAGCCGTTATCCATACTCTGCCGACTGTAATATATTTAAGTTTACATATTTTATTTATTAAAGACATTTTTATGTTTAACGTTCTTTTTTTATAGATACACGTATTTAAGTAAATGCTCTGTTTATAATCAACAGTATTAAATAACATTTACCGGCCTGTCCGAGAAATTTTCATAGAAAATATTCGTCCTTTGACAGGATTCGAACCTGCATCCTATACGGAACCGTCATTTACGCTGACGTGCCTTAACCAACTCGGCCACAAAGGAGAGTTCGGTAGGCAAGGTCGAATTTACTGCTTATAAACTTCAATCTTCCATGAATCTCGTACATTCATAACTGCTCTGACGTACCAAATGTAAACAAATGACGTCATATATTAAGAAATGGACAAAGTCCGACAATTTATTTATTAAAGACATTTGTTTTTTACATATTTTCCTGAATTTACCGGAGAAATATTCTTCGTATATCGAATTCGTTCTGCTTATAATTCCTGCACATCTGCTTACAGTAAAACATGTTGATGTTTTGTTGTGTCGTATTTTCATTACTGGTGTCATGTATTGTTTGTAAGAATAATTTTATTTGTTTATCGATGAGGTAATTCGGGAAAATTATTGTTGACTAATGTTTGTTTTATGTATTTTAGTTCACTCAGAAATATTCTTTGGGAAGAGGAATTTAGGTATGTTCTATTTAGGAAGTTTTTTATCATTGCTATTTTATAATGTTGAAGGAGACAAAAGATATCTCCCTTTGATTAACCCTTTAAAAAGCTAAAAATAGATATATAGATAGTCACGTGAACTGCCCGAGGGATCGTTAGGCGCGAAAGTCAAGCGTCCTCTTTGGTTCCTGGCAGTCAAACTAGAAAAAAACGTACTTATTCAGGCTCGTGACAATCAACATAAGATAAGTACTAAAGATCACCTTTTTTTCCAGATATCAAATCTCTTATAAAAACACATACACACCTTGTATGAGCATTGCATATATATATATATATATATATATATATATATATATATATATATATTCACTTGCTGTTATATGAAGACTTATGTGGCTATTTTAAACATTTTTTATGTGTTTATGTTGTATTGCTATTCGCTTTGTTAATTAATCCAATAGCACACTTTCTCACACAACAATATCTTTCCCGGCATTAGCTATCATAGTTTGGAAGAGATGAGTTCGAACTTGTGTTTTTATTTAAACGGGTACGTGGTAAATACTGTATATTTTAGATCTATATCCATGTCAAAGTATGATATTTTGTTATTAAACATGAGTTTGTTGCGGGTCGGTGTATGCGTTGTGAGATAAACACATGTGTCTCCTGAAATGCCCACAACAAACATGGCAGAGTCGGGATATGAGTCCACCTAAACGTAATGTAAAGAAACAAAAAGAACCGATATATATATACAAACAAATGAATGTGCATTAACAAATGAAGGTTTACAAGTGACAAAGACAATAATGTGTGTAATAAACGAAAGTGGAAAGTTTTTGGTCCAAAGTAGAAGTGAGTGAATGTGCGTACGTACATGTGTGTGAATGTATTGTTCATGCGTTTCCCATGATGGGAAAAACGCGATCTTCCGCGAGTGATTTACATTGCTATCTTATAAACGGAAAAATAAGAAGAGAGATAAAACATTATTGCAGAGTATTTATAGTGTTGGAGAGCGCCCCCTAGGAATAGTATCGAAATTTAGGAGGAAATAACCCAACAAGTTCGTACGTAAATTTTATTTTTAGTCAAAAGTTTACTTTAGATTTATTTCGTCCTTATTTTTTAATCAAAACGAAAGTATCATCAACGTGTGTAGATTTGT